GAGCTGCAGAAGTGGGGAGTTTCCTCCTTGGAAAGCGCGCAGAGGCAGCAGCGTGGGCAGCGAGGTTCTGCCTCCCAACCTCTCACCTGTGCAGCTGGCCAGAGCAGTCTGGGCCAGGCCTTCCCGTTCAGGCCTCAGCTTCTGCATCAGCAATGTGGAGCCCACCCCCCACTATGGCCAGCAGCTGCCTTCACTTTGAACCTCTCCCCATCAAATCCCAGGGACCCAAGGGATGGAGCCCATTGAGGCTCCCTGGAGAGCAGGGTCTGTCTGGAGAAGCCCCAGGTTCATTCGGCCTCCTTGGGCTTCAGGCTTGAGACCCAGACATCTTCCTCCATCTGGGCCCCCATCTCATTCTCTATTATTTGAAATTAACATCACTATTCATTAAGGACCTGCTACACACTCTGTAAGCATCAGCACATTCACTCTTCACCAGGAAGCATGACTAACCCCATTTTACAGATGGACAAGCCAAGGCTGGGTGCAATGGAGCCGCTGTCCCAGCCAGTGAGTGATGGACTCAGGGTCCCATCCAGGTTCCTCTGACTGGGGCCCACGCTGCCTCTCGGCTCCCTTGTGTGGCTTTGAGGCATGACACCCCTTTCCCGGGCTCCAGGTGTGTGTCCCGGAGGCCTCCCTCAGGCTGTTCACGTGTAGGAACACATTCGCACTCCTCTAGAGCACCATGGAGTCGTCATCACTACCTCACTGTACAGAAGAGGAGACAGAGGGTCAGAGAGGTCTCCCTGAGAACGGGGAGGCCCCAGGTGCTGTGTCTGGCTCCCTTGTCTCACAGGACAGCTGTGCTGTCACACCCCTGGGACTCTGGGGGAAACACTCAGCATCGACAGAGCCTCCGCTGAGCCTCTGCCAGGCCCCAGGGACCTCCTCTCCCCAGGCCAGCCCCCACCAAGTGCTGGGGAGGCTGGCCAGCTGCCCCTCTCCGGGACCGCTCATAGGAGCATTTCCGCAGAGGGAAGAGAAATCCATCAACAGTCCCTGTCATCCCAGGCCAAGGAGACTTACGGAGGCAGGGGCTGGGGATGGGCTGGGGAAGCCCTGGCCAGTCTTTTCATTGGTCCCCCGCTGTCCATGGACCCCGAAATTGCTGGCTTTTGTTTCAAAGTTAGTTAACAAAGTCATGGGGGCTGACTCCGGGCTCAGCGGTGGGAGTGTGGGTGTGGAGGGTCAACTATTCAACAGCATCAGCTGCTTACAAAAAGGGAGGTGAGACTTGGAGCCAGGCAGAGAGGGGAAGGCAGAGCCACGACTTCCTCTGGATCTGCAAGACCCAGGGCCACACGGGGGTGGCCTTGACCTCCTTTTCTTCCTCCAACCCATCAGCCAGGCTTGTCAGTTTCTCTCCTTCGATTAAACTTCCTTTCCTGACATATCATAATTTGGTATATTTGTGGGGCACAGTGTGAGCCTCGAGTATGTGAATACAACATGTGGATGCTTACGTGGGGGTAAGCACATCCACCACCTCCACCGTGCATCATTACTTTGTGAGGGGAACATGCCCAATGCCCTTTTGCATCCGCTCTGAGATCCGCGGAGGGTTGGTGACCAGCCACCGCCGCCCTTTGAACCCCACACGTGCTCTTACCTGTCTGCTACTCCGTGAGGCAGCTCTGTCTCTTCTCCCTCCAACCTGCCCCCACGGGCTTGTCTGTTCCTATCGCCAAAATAGCTCTGAGTTCTGAGGCCTCTCTCCTTTTCCCTGCTACCGTCCTCACGGGAGCCCCTGGTGAATTTCTCTGGACAATCATTCCGTATGCAGAGTCAGAGTCTCCTTCAGTGGCGGGCGTGGCCACAGCCCTCCTTGTCTAAGAGACCATCGCCCTCAGCTATGATCGGGGTACAGTCGAGCAGTGACGAGCTTTGTGCTCTGACCCTCCAGGCCCAGGTGACCTGGCTCTGCAGCCACCCCTCCCCTGCTCTGGGTCACAGGAGTCCTCTAAGCACGTGTCCTTTCTGCACTTCCTCAGACACAGGGAGCGCCGTGCCACCCCGGACCCTGCGCACTTTGCTCTCTCTTGGAAACCCCTCCTGGATCCCTCTCCCCATGGCTGGTGTCTCCACCCTCAGGCTTCTGCTGAAATGTCACTTCTTTGCGACACCCTGTGAGGCTTGGTCCACTCCCCTTCCGCGGCTGCCGTCTGCAAAGGTCCTCAGCTATTACTGCCCAGCCCACCAAGGGGGCACGTGTTGTGGACACTCCTCGCTCCCCGCAGCAAAGGGTGCATCAGGACGGCCTCGCCCACCGGGCCTCCGCACAGCGCCAGGACGTGTGGCCGCCTGTCCCCCCAGGTAATTCAGAGGTGTCAGACACTGAGGAGTGGAACTGTGCCAGGCTCACCTCCGAGGGCTCTCTTTATCCGGTGACCTTGAATAACTCCTCCCCTTTCCTCTTAATTTATGTCTTCATGAGTGAGAGAGATGGAGACAGCACCCCCGACAGAGACGTGACTTGATGATCCACCCCCAGCCTCAGCCAGCCCCAGACCGCCGGCAGGCGTGTGCCCAGGGAACTGAAGGAGGTCTCCGGACACAAGCCTGGAACCTTCCCATGGGGGCAGCCTCGCAGAGCGTCATTGTACAACTGAGTCCTTGCCCAGCCTCCTTTTCTGCTTTTAAAAACCGCGCTAGTGAGGCATGACTGAGGCGGAAGGCTGTGCGTGTTTCCTGTGCAGAACTTGGTGAGTGTGAGGGTGAGCGCTCGCCCCTGGCCGCCCACAGTCAATGCTACCGCTGCCCGTCGCCTCCGACACTCCCCCGCCCTGCTCCGCACGCTCTGGTTTCCTGGTCTGCGCGTCCGAGCCCCGGCCCAGGGCGGCAGTGACCTTCATCGCTCCATTTCTGGTGGAGGGCCCCATCCTTAGATAAACCCCGAATTCCGCTCGCTCTCTTTCTACATGTTGTTTATTTAGCAAACTGGCAAACGGCTCTCGGGCTCTTAAGCGGCCGCTGTGGCGGCCCTGGGCGGCAGCCTCCGGGGTGGCCTTATGGGAAGAAAGCGGGCTCTGTTTACTCCCTTTCCTGGTTTCTGAAGGGCCGAGGTCCTGGACACGGAAGCCAGAGCGAGGACTGCAGAAACCAGTCCCCACTCCTCCCACGGGGGTTCTCCACTCCGATGGGACATTTTGAGCAGGATCATGCTTCGTCGCGGGGCTGTCCTGGGGACGGCAGGATGCTCGGCCACTGCCCTGGTCTCCTCCCACCAGATGCCCAGCGGTGACGAGCACATGTGTCCGCAGACAAGGCCGGGTGTGCCCGTGAAAGCCACCACTGTGTCTAATGCCCAGAGCTGCTCCATGCAGAGGGACCGCTATTTCCACTTTTGCTGTAAGGAACTGACACTCGGCCAAAGTCACGCACCTAGTGGGGGACTCTGCTGTCTCAGAGGCCTCAGTCCATTCCCCGACACTGTGCAAGCCCTTCCTGTCCCTGCTGGACCTCAGACCCCTCCAAACTCCAGGCCCCCGGTGTCCATACGCGATCCCCTCGCGCCCCCTCAGGCCCACGGGCATCTCCACCGCAGGACCCAGACTTACCCTGTCCCGTGGCTGAGTGTGCACAGCGTTGGTGACAGTCCGCTGAGCTCAGGAAAGGGCAGAGGGCTGACTGGACTGTAGCCAGCTCTTGTCACTGGCTACAGCGGGTCTGGTCTCCACCCCTCCCCTGACCCCTCCCTGGTGAGGCCTAGCCCCTCCCTGGCGTGGTACGTGAGGCTTCCAGCAAACAGGTTGGCAGAAGGCAAAGCCGCCTGAGCCAGAGGCTGAGAACAGGCCCCTCATAGCCCCCGGGACCCCCCCCCCAGCCACTGTTTACCTGGAGTGGCCAGGCTGGAGCCTGCGTGCCCACCAGCCTGCTGTGTTTACTGGTCGTGGGTGCCAGCAGGCAGATTCTGTGCAAATGGGAGCGACTGAGACCGTCTCACGGTGGCTTAGATACAGGGGTCACTGTGCCTACCCCCTGTGATTGCCCTCACAGCCGAGCTGAGGATCAGAAGGATGAAGGGGATTTTCAAAGTCATGCATAAAATTCGGGCAGAGCTGGGCTTAGTGCTCAGGCGCCTGCCTTCCAGGTCAGGGACCTTTGCTCACGTAAAAGCTGTATCCAGAGCTTCCACGGGCTCGCCTGGAGTGTCCTTTCTGCCGTGAAATCGGGCACCCCAACTCAGCCCCTGACTTTGTGGAGTATTTCCAAGATGTTGGTGCCGGCTGCTGGCCCACACCTCGTGACATTTCCAAGGTCCCCATGCCTGGGTCTTCCTGTCACCATAGAACACTGTGTGTGGCCTTGACCAAAAGAGCTATGTGGGGGTAGGTGGGGCGTGGAGCTGCCGCGGCACAGCAGGGCCTGGGAGGATGCAGGGGAACGAGCTTGACCTTCAACGAGAGGGTCCCACGCCATCCAGACAGCTCCTTTTCCTTGCATGCCTTCGGAGCCAGTTATGGGGCCGTCGGGATTCCGTCCCCAGGAATGATATGAGCTGGTATTTACTCACACTTTAAAAAGGACCACACGGAGGCACCAGCCCAGCCTGGATCTGGAGACAAGCACCATTACTGCCCGGTGTGGACATGTGTCTTCTGCCCAGTGCCCTCGCAGTCCACCCCACTGCGTCAGGAAGGCAGACTCAGACGGGCCAGGCGATCGGCCCGGTCTCCCAGCCCGTCCTGAGAGAGGGAAACAGGGTCTGCTCCAGCAGCTTCACCTTCTCTCCATCATGCCATGTCCAGCGTCTCATCCACCTGAAGCTTCCCGAGCCACACCGAAGGGTGGAAACCAGTGCTACATGCCAACGGCAGGGTGGGCACTGCCTCCCCGCTCAAAGATATCCAGGTCCTAGAATCTGGGGCACGTGAATGCTGACAAGAGGGGCTTTGCAGGCATGATACAGTAAACGTCTCCACATGGGGAGAGTAGTGTGGGTTACCCAGTGGTTCCTCAGTGCAGTCGTAGGGTCTCCCAACGAGAGGGAGTGGTGTGATGATAAGAGCAGGAGAAAGGACGGTGCCATGTGGGGCCACCAGCCAAAGAATGAGGAAGCTTCTAGAAGCTGGAGATGGCAAGGGCTGAACTCTCCCCAAGAACCTCCAGCAGGAGCATAGTCTTGCCTGTGTCTCGATTTGGGCCCAGGGAAGCCTATGGAAGACTTCTGGCCTCTCCAGTTGCAATAGAATGACTTTGTGTTGTTTCACACCGTCAAGATCCTGCAAATTTGTTACAGTAGCCATAGGGAACTAGATAAACAGTTCCGAGCAGTTTCCCTGTGAAGCTGCTTTGGGAGAGGTGAGGTCAGTGCACGTGCTGGGGGCTTCCCCAGCCTGAGTGTGCAGTGCATGCGATGATCCAGCAGGGGGCAACGTCAAGCACTGTTTCCCGAGCTGACATTTTAAGGAATCCCGGAATTTGGGAAAAGCCAGTGATAACTCATGATCCTCCATTGCCACTCAGAAAGGGCTCAAAGGCATAGGGACTGAGGACGGGTAAGTTTGGAAGGAAGATGTCTTGGGCCAGCCCCATGGCCTCGTGGTTGAGTCAGATCTCACATGGTTGACCACAGCTCAAATCCTGGCCCTGGCAGCTTGAAAAACACGTCAAGCGCATGTGCACCCATGTCCCAAATCCCAGCGGGAGGGGGAAGGGAAGAGAAAAGATTACAGTGTGATCGCTCTTTCCGTTTCTCTGTCACTCCCTGGCTAGCACACAGGCCCTCTGGCAATTGAAAAAGAGAAGGAAAGAAAGAAAGAAAGAAAGAAAGAAAGAGAGAGAGAGAGAGAGAGAAAGAAAGAAAGAAAGAAAGAGAGAGAGAGAGAGAGAGAAAGAAAGAAAGAAAGAAAGAGAGAGAGAGAGAGAGAGAAAGAAAGAAAGAAAGAAAGAGAGAGAGAGAGAGAGAGAAAGAAAGAAAGAAAGAAAGAGAGAGAGAGAGAGAGAGAAAGAAAGAAAGAAAGAAAGAGAGAGAGAGAGAGAGAGAAAGAAAGAAAGAAAGAAAGAAAGAGAGGTTTGGAGAAGGTCTCAGGGCCCAGGACCTTGGTGTATTAATCCCCTGAGGCTGTGGTAACAAAACACCACACACAGGGCAGCTTAAATAATGGAAATGTACCCCTCTCCCCCTCTCCCCCTCCCTCCCTCCCTCCCTTCCACTCCTCTTTCCTTCCTTGCTTCCTTCCATCCAATATCAATGATTATTTAGCACTAACCATGTTCCAGAAACTATCCCTGGCCTCAAAAAATAGAGAGATTTTTTAAAAATGTTATTTACTTCTCCCATGTGAGAGAGAAAGGGGAAAAAAGAGCACTCCCAGCAAGATCCTCGCACTGAGATCCACCTCCAGCTTCAGCCAGTCTAGACCCGAGCACATGCGTGCACACACTTGATGCAAACCTGGGCCTGCCCGTGCGGCCCAGCCTGCTGAGCTCAGCGCAATCGTAGCACCTCTGGCTGGCCCCAGGAAAGACACTCACCTGTGTAGGTAAGCCCGCGTCAGCTCCAGAGCTCTGACAGCTCTCCCCACAGTGAAGACGGGGGAACGTCCATGCGGCTAGGTTGGAGAGGAGGGTGGAAGTGGAAAAGCAGATGAGGCCAGGGCATTCTGGGGAGAGGAGAGGACAGGAGAGGGCAGGAGAGGGCAGTGAAGTGGAGGCTGGGACGTTCTGCAGAGCCACGCACGAGAAAGAAGGGCTCGCAAAGCCCAGGGAGGTGAGGGAGGAGGAGGAGAGTGGCCAAGGGCGGGGCAGCGTCATTGCAGTGTCAGGTGCAGAGAGCGTTCCAGTGGGATGAGGCCAGTCAATGGCCCCAGGAGCCTCCAGGTGACCTCAGTGAGGTGGGCAGCAGGAGCCCTCGGGAGTGGCTGTCAGCCTAGAGAAGGCTGGGGCAGAGATGGGACTTAGGAAGCTGCATATGGGAGGGGGGACTGCCAGGAAGGAGCCTTCAGGAAGGGTAAAAAGGTTTTTATGGAAGGAGATCTTCCAGGTGCAGGAGGCCACAGGCTCCAGAGCTGCTTGTCAAGAAGAGAAACACCTGTTCCCATGACACTGGAGGCAAGGGGGCTCCAATGACGAAGCAGCACAAACAGGGTGGCTTAAGCATCGGGAATCTACCCCCTCAGTGCCGGAGACCCGAAACTCCAACCAAGGTGTGAACGGAGCTGTGCTCCCTCTGAAGGCAGAGAGCTGCAGACCTTGGCGGATGGCTGGGGCACCTTGACCATGCCATCTGTCTCCAGCCCTGCTCGGCAATGCAACGTGCAGAGAACCGAGCAGGGCGAGGAAGGGCTGACCACAGGCAGCCCGAGCAGACAGGCTTCACTGCCTCATCTGGACGCCCTCAGGCCTTAGCTATGGCCCCTTTAGAACAAATGACCGGCTTGCTGCCCAGACTCTTGTTACGTTAGCATTCTTCCCCTGCAATGGCTGTCGCCCTACCGGAGGGCCAGGTGGTCACCATAGACATACTTTTTCTACTGAGCTCTCTCCTCATTTCCCCCTAGGCGGGGTGGGCTTCCCTACGCCCAGTGAGCGCTCCTAACAGAATTGACCACATGGCCTTTAAACAGGAGCTCTAACTCCTCTACCTGCTTTGTCCCCACAGCTGCCAGCCCACTTCACCTTTTCAGGTGACATGCCGGCTCTGGCAGGAAGATGCAGCTGTGACAAAAGAGGAACTGAGATAACGATAGCGATTGTGTGGTCGCGGGACATGGAGTAACTGTGGGAGGCCGTGACAGGTTCCTAGTCAGGTATCACATTCATTGTACAGGAGAGGAAACCGAGGCCGGAGAGACACAGCTCAGGTTCCTCCCCGCCCCCCAGCGTTAGGGATGGAATGAGGTCCCTTCCCCGAATTCATATAGAGACCTCAGAAAGAGACCTCGTTTAGAAATAGGGTCCTTGGGAACCGGCAGCTAGCATAATGGCTATGTCGCTGGGCTCCCACGTAGTCGACCATGGTTCGCATCCTAGACCCAGTGGCTTAAAACTCATGCCAGGCGCGTGTGCGTGCATGCCCAAGATCCCGAGAGGAGAATGGAGG